AAAAAAATTTAAAAATTCTTTGATGAGTTAAGAAGGGTCGAGAATTAATTTTGAACATTGTTATGGGAGGGCTGCTGTCAAAATGTCAAGTCACGTGCCAATTTCGTTATCTGGAGTGTAATTCATATTTTTTAATTCCATGGTAGGAAAGATTGAGTAAAGTTCCAATTTATTTCAATTCTGTTTTTGGTGTGGTTGAGTTCATCTTTTACTATGGTACATTATAATCCCATGGTTCAAGTTTTCAAATCATATTTTGGATTATTTCAATCAAGATTTCATTCAATGTTTTGTTCTCTGAASAGGTCCAGTGAGATTCATGCATTTATGTTTTGACACAGTTTTATGTGCATTAGATTCTATTTTTCTTTAATAAATTTTGGCTACTAGTACTATTTTTTTGCATTCTCACAATAGTAGTAAGCATTTAAATAATCGTGGTCAAGCCAGACTGTCCAACTGATTTTTTCAACTGTTGAAASTTTTTTGTGTAAACACTGATTGGGCTTGATTGGAGTAGTATTTACAGATTTTTTGCCAATATTTTGCCAATCTTGCCAACATCTCATGGACAAGCTGGCCTATTTTCTTGGGAGACGTGGATCTGGGGCTTGCCTTTACTAGTAGTAGCTCCATTGTTCTTGTACAATATATCAAGCTAGTATTACTACTAGTAGTACTAGTATGTGTACTACATGTTGCAGATCAATGGAAATTGTGTTTCACAGCACATTCCAAATGTTAACTTGGCATCCTAAATGCTACTAGCACCATAGGCCTTTTGTAGAAATGAGTACTGCAGTTTTGTTTGAGTTTAACGTTYTGAATTTTAATTCCACATTCCACTTGACATTCTGAATGCTAGCAGGCATTAATGCATCCTTCTTCCTCCTCCTCTTTTTAGGAAGAAGCAAGACCAATRTTCTTGTTTTTGGATTCTGGTGTGCTACTAAATGAAGAACGGGGATTATAYCAGGATCTACATTCTATGGCTACAGTGATACTAGTAACATTCCAAATGTTAAGTCTGACATTGGGAACATCAAGTTAATATTGGGAACCTTAATTCTAACATTCAGAATGCCAAATTACTAGGCAACCTGTATTACTAGTAGTAAAACATCAATTGAAATYAAGTTAATTAAAGCATTGTGAACGTTAGTAGTTTAAGCAACATTCCAAACAAAACCCTTTTAGGCCTGCTGTGTAGAAATGATAACTGCAGTTGTTGCTATAACTTAGMATTGTGCATGGACATTCAAAGTTTTAGAAGACAAGGATGTTGGGAGCATTAATTCTAACATTTAGAATGCCTTTGGGTTGTGTATGTGCCTCAAAAAAGGAAGAAGGGGCCTAAAAAGGGGAAGAAGGACATCCTCCCCTGGTAATATGCTGAATGCTACATAAAATGTGAAGTTAACTTACATGATTCAAGCAACACCACCCCAGTATTCATTTCTATGCAGGCCTACACCAGCATTAACATTTGGAATGTTAAAACGGCATTCTGATCATTAATTTAGAGTTCCCAATCCCTTATTTGAAGAAAGATCAATTGTTGTTTTGCATGTGCTAGTAGTAATACTTGATAGTAATTTTCCAAGAACTACTAAAGCTTTTAGTGCTACYAGTACTTCTTGTGAGTACCATGATATCCTATTGAAATGCTTCAAGAATAAAACTGATGAGAGTAAAACTTAATTTCAATAGTACATACCTGCTGTGTAGTGGGTGGGGTGGAGCATACCAGCAGCAAGTGAATGATAACAACAAGAAAAAGGACAATGAGGAGGAGGCAGTAATATCATGCCCCCCCCCTGCCCCCCTTATGGCTGTTGGTGGAATGCAATGAAGACCAGAACTGGTGCTGGTGGGTCATTTTTCCTTTTGACCATCAGCAGCATATTTTTCAGCATCATCATCTGCAATTTCCTCATCAGGAAGACCAACTCTCTCTCTCTCTTTGCTGTCAGTGAAGCGTTGTGAAAAATTGTTGACCAACAGATGGGGTTTCCCAGGTATTGGTATGGCAATATTGACCACACCTTCAATCCAAGAAGCTGGTGAGAGTACCAGCAAATCTGGAACGGGCTTAACGGAGGCTATCTTGACAAACGGTACGAAGTGCAATCAATCCATAAAGACCTTAGTACACCATACKCTTTTGGTCCGTGTTCGATGGCACCTTGCAGTAWCAGGACGTTTCGCCGTTGAATCTTATCTCGCGCTCAACGTATCTTTAGCCAAGGTGAAACACACAGTGATGTCGACATGTCAACATAATAGTAGCGACCAAAGTTTGGATTTCGATATTATGTATTGCAATTTTCTATGTAGCATTTATCTATCTCTTGGATCGTTTGTAATATGTACAGGGGTCACACTAGCAGTTGTACTCCTCGTCTTTAATGTATACTATGAAATATGCCTCGTATTTGTCCCTTTCGTCATMGTTGCTAGAGTGGTATGCATCACCTTTGAGCAACTGATGTTGCAACTGCAACTGTCCGTGGACTCGAGTAAAAACTGCTGCCTTGCGTCGCAACGGYCCCGATACACTGTGAACCCATTTCCTTTGCAGTGCTTTTCCTGTATACTTGGATATCGGGGCTGGAACCTTTCATGAGCTCGTAAATCGCGATGCGAAGCTCTCGTACGGCAGCACTGTCGATCGGAATGATTTTCCTTGCTTCGGTTTCAACTTGAGCGCAAAACACATCGTCCTCGGTCAAGCTTTCGAGAGCATTTAGCATGCAAGCTAATGCGATGGAAGATTGGTCGTATGTGCAAAAGTTGTATTCTTTGACAACCAATTCGGTTTGGTGTTCTGAAATGTCCAGTATCGTTTTCTTTTCGCAAGACTTGATGAAATCGACTGGTAATAAGTCAACCATCGATCTCACAAAACTCATTGCAGTGGGAGGATTCACCTTCCATTGGATGGCACACAACATTCTGAATTCCATTGCTTCCACTGCTTGTGGAGAATGACGTCCTGAGCTGAGAGAAGATACTAGCTTGGGGTCCATGGCTTCTTGCTCGTGAATTTTAACGCTGCTGTATAGTGCTGTCATGGCTGCAAGTTGATATAGATTTCGGTCAAGAAGGATTTCTCGTCCGYTGGGCGTTGACATGAAGCGATCAAGACAATTCATTGCAATCGCGACTGTTTCTTTTTTGTAGTTGCAGAAATCGGCTATCTCGTTGCACCATTTGGCCATCGCATATCTACAGCTCGCATCGATGGGTGTCTCGAGCGCGGTAGCAACGGCTGGTAGAGAGGAAAGATAATCAGATACCGAATATCCGACTTCTTCTTGTCGTCGCATAGCTCTGGAGATTTCGACGCTTTGTTCGCTTGATAAATTCATAATTGGAGTTTTTTGTTTCATAAAAAAATAATTTTGTGAGACATTTCACAACAGAAAGTTGTACCGTCGTTGTTTACAGTAATTTATTGTCACGACCTGTTTTCACTCGTATGAAGTGGCCGAAAAAAAGGCACGATTCATTCGTTCGAAAGGCGTAAGGTACTATTAGGACGTGGTACGATCTGAAGTGAAGCGTTGGGTTCGCTAATAATGTACCTGTTAGTACGGTAATTAACATACCCTTACTTAGCGTACATGTATGTACGGTATTACGGAGAAAAAGACGTAGAAATACAACATTCCTAGTACAGTAATGACCCTGATGCCTTTTCTCACCATGCAGTATTCATAATTTTCACATTGAAGTCTTTCGTTAGATGTTTCAGGAATATTAACATTAAGCGCAACAACTTTCAATGGTCTTTTCAAATCGATTCACGAAGTCAATTGCATCGACTTTTTTATGCTACGACTAATACTTCAAGAACAAATTCTGATCGGGCTCTTACCACTACGTCCGAGTACCGGTACAAGTAGGAAACACTTGCGATTCTCTGATGACCTTCAATGCAAATTTATTTGTCATCRACCAATCATACTCCTTGTATTCTTGTTGACACCTGTAAGAGTCATAAAGTACGGTAAATATATATTTTAAGTGGCGGGTTTGATGGCGTCAAATGAGAAGAAGTAGAGCACGGTAAATGGTACGTCTATTGCCATACCGTACGGTACGGTAGGGTGGTAATAACAAAATACCGAAGTACTGTACCKACCGGTACTACTGTACAGCACTGTATGACTTCTTTACTTTGCTACAGTACGGTACGTACTCGTACTGCACCTTTGTGGCTGGTACGTAAAAGCGTGTCGGAGGTATTCGCAAAGGGTAGATTTTSAACAGCACAAAACGTTCTTTGGTCTCCAAATTTTTATCATTTTCGTTCTTAGTCTTGGGCCGGCGTTAAATAATTRAAATTATAAAGTACGAGCAGCAGGTAGAAATTTGCAAGTAGGAATTTGTCCGTTTGGAAAAGTGCAACAATCTCAACCGAACGGAGGAAGAAACTGCCGAAATCACTTTGAAGACTCCGGAACTCGAGTTTCGACACTATTGGCGTCGTTCCTGCTCTGAAGAATTACCTCTTTCTGCGATTTCGACCAGGAAGACCCCTCCATGTTCACGCATTCAAATTAATCCATCATCTCTAATTTCCAATCAGTTGAGTCTTAATGGTGGAAACTACAACAGGAAAATACAAGTGATGTTAGTATTCAAACAGAAACAAAGCGGGTTTTTCTCTTCGTCTTGCTAATATTTTGGTTGCCGACGGCATCAAAACAGCTGTAAAATTCCATGGAAAGAAAATGAACGTAGACACCTGTTAGCAATAATGACGAAAATTTGTGTGTGTCTGCTAGGCATCATAAGATAGGCAAAAGAAAAAGCCAACCAGTGGCTMAAAAAAAGGCGTGCCTTATCTAGACAATTATGTTACTACCTTTATGAATTGCCATCCGTTATCACGTAAAAAACTCCYAAGTCATCAAGTACATTKWTGATATCTCTGAGTGCTGGCCGATAGGCATACGAATTGGAGGGAATTAGCGGTTGGTAGTGCCCGGGAATGTAACGAAGTGTTATCGTGTTGGATTGTAATGACGGAGTCCTATCTTCATAGTTCTTCCCTTTGTATACATCACAGAACCCACTCGTTGCATCGAAAATAACGACGGCCAATTCGCTCAGTTGTGTTTGCGAGTCTAGGGTGTAGACCAAAAAGTCCGAAAATGCTTGGACTTCCTCCCCYACCTTACCTTCTAGGACCCATTCCGGGTGAGCCTTGACTACAGCCGCTTCAATTGTCCTTTTCAATTGAAGAGCGGTGTCGCCTATCAAGAGTTCGTCTTCCTCCTTAGTGTTTTCTTCTTCGCTGTTATGAAATGATAGAGCCCCGATCCCCCATAAATATGACGTGGCCAAACTTAGATAAAAACAAGAATTGTGGATGATTTCATTCCGCTCATTGCGATTGATAGCCCCTGCATCTTTAAAAGCCAACCCCAACATACCGAGCGCCGTCAGCTGTTTCTCTACGCAAGCCTGTAGATCCATGCCATCCGCTTGGAATAAATCGTTGACGAGACGTTTGTGATCTTGTAATTCCTTATCGCACGATGCGGTCGTCAACTGAATTTTCTGRCTTCTTTGTTCTTGGTTGTGGCCATAGTAATAACCTATCGAAGCAATACGCTCATCTTTTGTTTCCGTAGATGAGAAGGATGTCGATGATAGCATRGATCGATAGGCCCGTGCAATTTCTTCAAATCGATGTGCTTTCCCTCCTTTGTCGGGATGCTAAAGAATTATTGTTGAAAAAGTATATTATCAGTGGTTCGAATAAAATAAGAAAGGATTCTTCTGTACCCACAACTAAAGTCCCGAACGACGTATCCAAAGAACCGAAGAGGATCCGCACGCTATAAGCCACCAACTATTTCACTTACGTGAAGTCTTGCGAGTTTCCGATAGGCTGCCTTGATCTCTGCTGGATTTGCATTTCTTGAAACGCCCAAAACGACGTGAGGCGATGATTGTTGGTCTTGAGGCGAATGATTGTTGTTCGGGTGATGGCTGTGATATTGCACCAGTGCCATATCCAGCATGGAAAGCTCCATCGCTCGCTTGATAGCATCTTTCTCCATTTGATCGGGATCTTCCCGTGACAGTTCGGCAAACGTCTTGCTAATGGACAGACCAAGCTGGTTTCGTTGCAAACTTTGTTGGTGGCGCCATTCCCTGAGGCGTTGAAGCATAATGCCACCGCTTCTTGCTGTTCGTGGTGACGAATCATGAGCATCCATTGAAGAAGGTACAATTGAGGGAGGTATGACGATTTCATAGTCTTCCTCCACTGATAAGGGAATCGGAATTCTGATCTGCTCCCATTCCTCGTCTGTGTGTGACATGCTGTCACTCACAATAGATCTGGTGGGGGAARTATCGCTGTAGTCGTCGGAAGTTGTTTCGCCGGTATCGAAATAGGACAAAAGTGTGATCAGCATTATCTTATGAGCAATCCTTTGATTGGAACAAAAGGAATGATTAACTATGTTGATCGATTATGTCTCGTCTCACTTTGTCTCCCTGTCTCGTAATTTCAAAGCATGTGGCTGAAGCTTAATTTATCGTTGCTGTTTTGTTTCACGAAATCCAAGTCAAGCAAAAGGTGGATAGATTCCCAATATCGAGCAGCGGGGTATTTCGCTGACCCTGAAGTATTACGAATATTTCAACGAAACCAAAGAACAATCTCAATCGCGCCGTATACACGATGGGTCAATCGAGATGGAAACGAATAGATGGTCTTTGCTTTTGTGACGCTGAGCTTTTACTGACTCAAAAGTTATTAGATCTATGGCACGGAATCGACTTCCAGCTTCGTCTATTAGTGATTGTTGTCTATSAGCTAGGAATTTCGACAAACTTAGAAATCGTTTTTGTAACAGTTTTCATTCTCCGAATTTCGTTGTCACTATCGTACGGTAAAGTAAGTACGTACGGTGCAGTAATTCTAAATCAAAACTTGAGGTGTGATTCTTGATTCTTTAAACGTAACATACGGTACCGGCCGGTACGATAGGCACGTACAGTATTGTTGCGATTGTGACAGGATTTCATCCTCTTACTGTACCAGTTCGTAGCGTACAACGATACAGAGCTGGTACGTAGCGTGCGAAAACCAAAGTGATGTTTCATATCATCATTGAAGTACTACAGTACACAAACTATGAGGACTACCGTACGTGCGACGTCCGGACTAGTACGAGCGAGTACTACTTATTTTTCATTCGTGTTCCGTCTTGTACTGTATGTTGCACGAGTTATAGTAGTGTGAACTGTAGCGCAGGTACTGTAACGTACGTACGTAGGTATCAATCAAAATCCTTGATAGTACCTTGTACTGTAACTTGTACCAACACCAGTACGAGTATTACTGTACCCAGTACATCATTCAGTACAGTGTTACAGTAAAGTACGTACATTAKTTACTTCTATTTTGTCACAGTACTACTATTATTTACAAGTACGGGTACGTTTAGGTGCTGATCTTCTGCTGTATCTTACCGTAAAGTACCGGACTGTACTTCTAATTCTGAAGCAAGTCGTGATATGAATTTTCGACGACGGCCAGATTTCTCTTTTCTTGCCTCCAAACAAATTTTACCGGTATGCACCGAGGTGAGGTAAATCGTAAATAAGGAAAGTAGCTACAGGTACTGACAGACCAACCTCAAGCATTGTCGTCTGTGACAACTTTCTTGTTGAGGACTCGTGAAAATATTGACTTGCATGATCCTGTTCTGGCTTTCCTGACGATTAATTTCAAGACCTGCAACAATTACCACCGCAATCTCTACAACGTACGAAGTGACATACGAGAAGCGACAGAAYAAAGCACTCCAGCTCGTCAACAGAACACATATGCTGCGAGAGGGAGTCGGAAAATAATTGGATACGAACGATTGATCAAWACCACTCGTTACTGCAAACGAACAATTCTGCAAGCTATCTGTGTCCTGTCACAAATATGCTATCGATTGCTTCCAAACGCACCATTCCAGTGGCAAGATCCGTACGGGGTCTTCGGACGCCTGGAAAAGAACGGCGTGCCAGATTGGCAACCTCAACTGCGTCGGCCTCGCAGAGTGCCAACAACAATCGCCGCGTCGTTTCCCGCCGTGCATGGCTCGAGATCAAAGAATCACGAGGGATCAAGCGGAAACCCCCCGACCCATCGAAACGGCCACTCTCGGCCGACGAAAAACCGTGGCCGAGAAACCTGCAGATCGCGGGGTACGCTGCCAGCGCAGTGGCTGTCCCATACATCATCCTATGGACGATCACGTCGAATCCCACTCTGCGTGAGTGGTTTGGTCCGTATATGCCCCTAGAAAAGTTGCGAATTTATTTTGGAACGCTGGAGTGGGACGCCCAGAGCTATACCGACCAGATGGAAGACGCGAAGAAGAAATTAAAGGAAGGAAAAGCTCCCGACTCCGTCGACGAATCATTGATCGGATACTACCAATTTCCCGAAGAAGAACCATTTCACGTACGAGAGCAACAAAAAGCTATCGAGACATTGAACGAGTCGGATCTAGTCGTTACGATGTCTGCGTCGYCCTCGTCGTCTCTGCAAATCGAGGATGTTGTCACAAAGTCCGTTGCCGCGAAAACGATTGCAAACRAAAAGAATTTGTCAGAGCTGTTCTATTCTAGTTCGGCATCCACGCAATCTGATAATACGGCGGTGGCGGTGGATTTTCTGGACCAGAACAACTTAGAGGACACAGTCAACAAGAGCAACGCCGAAATGAGACAGCCACTTTCTGGTGGTTCCTTGATGACAGATGTGGAGTCCATKGCAAGCAACTATGGAACATCCGATTCGTCGTCGGCAAGCCAGCGATTGGCTCGGGACACCCAGGTTGCTTCGAAATGGACCTATACCCAATCGCAGCAGCAGGCCTCCGGCAAACCTTCACAAGAAGGTATATCGGGCGCTTCCAGTATCTCTCAACTGACGGATGTAGAAATGAGAATGGGGCAATTGGAGCACAACATTTCTGAATTGGAAGCAAGTTTGAGAGATCCCAATAGCACTCGAGCCATCGATGATATGACCACAGATTTGCGCAACGCTAAAAGAGAATTATCGAAGTTGAGGTGGAAACGGCGATTCGGATTGGTTTGAGAACGAAAGCGAAATACATTTTAGTAGGAGTTGATGACAAATTTTAGACGAACGKTGGATCTGACTGTTGCGCACATCAGACTGATCATGTTTAMCAGTTATGGAATTCCTTATTATGAAGACGAGCATCTTCATAAGAAAAATGCTTGATACATAAAACAAGCATGTGGGTGCTGTCTAGACTAGTCAAGGCCAATTAGTTTTTTATTTCCCCTCTARAATAATCCAAAGAACACGGTTTATTTGCCAGGACCATCGCTTTTGTATATGTTCTTTTTGTTCATTCCCGCTGTYGGACCGCCGATGGCCTGCAGTTTACATTTGTATTCTTCGGCAGTCCTATAATCTGGCCCTATGGTCCATTCCAGACCCGGATTTTCCACTTGCCGTCGCAATCCATTTTCTTTTGTCGCCGAAAATGAGGAAATGGTTGACACACGTTCCAAGCGATAAGGAACTTCGCGTTGGTTTCCATAGATAAAGCCCCCCTTGATAGGGTCGAATCCGCGATCGTTGATGTAAAAGACGTTTCTGTACAATGACAGTTGATCTATGATCCGAATCTGCAATCCCGGAACAATGGTCGAGTTGACAATGGTAGGGCCGTGAATCATAATAGCATGTAAGGAAGTCGTCAAGCCCTCGTCGTCTTTCTCAGGTGCATTTGTCAAGTAGGAATGCTGAACGGGATCTTGTTCGAAGGACCAGGAAATCTCACACTTATTCAATAAGGAAACTTTTGGTTGATYTTCAACCTCGGGTTTGAAGTTCTCAAAARTGCTCGGCCAGCTGAGTGGATCGTTCGCTTGTGATTTCAAAATCCTTTCTAGATCCGGATGCAATGTATTCAAATACATCTCAACCGCCTCATCATTTGTAGGCGATGAAATCAATTCATAGTATCGAAAGCGGAATATCCGATCGGGGTTTCCGTCGAAGAAAAAAGCTGCTAACCGTGTTTTTTCCGTCAAAGGTACGAGTGTGCAGTGAAAGTGTTCGTGTCCTCCGCCCTCTCTCGGACTGAGACCCAGTTTTCGGTCCTCGACTACTTGTGCATAATTGTCGAAGTCGCCCTGGAAGCATTCGGAAAGGTGTTGCCAAACAAGTTGGCGTCGTCCTTGAGCGGTACTGACACTTTTGCAATCTTTGACGCTATAAATGTCATCGGTCTGGACATCCACAGAACAATCGCCACCAGTAGCGAATGAAATTGTTAGTGATGAAGCCACGCTATCCCGCGGTTGTTGCCACCAGATTCCAAGACCACCGTGAAATGACGCAATRGGTGTTTTGCGGCAACGGTCGTTTCTCGTCGCAGGGCAAAATGATCTAATCAGAAAAGGCGACGATGAAGAGAACAAAGAAATCACTGCGGCTGTCACAAGRCAGAAGCTCGGTGCGGATCTTACTGTCATCCTTATTTGCCTTGCTGTCATACTTCGATCGGAGGGATGGTCGAAATTGTCAAGAGTACTTTCTTGTAACAAGGTTGAGGTGCTTGTGCTTCCGCAAAATACTGTATAACTTTTTCCCGTCTCCGCCTCTCCCCCCCGATATCAAATTTTCTTTGTTTTTTTTAAGAATCACTTTTCTCTAATGGACTTTTAACCCATTTCCTTGTTTTACAAATGACATAAACTCATTTCCTTGCATATTTCCGTTTTTAGTGAATTTAGTGAATTGTAAACTCATTTCCTTGCATTTTGCAATTTTGTAAACTCATTTCCTTGCATTCTCTAAGTAATCAAAATTCTGCCATTAAACAACAGGAAAAACCAATGCTACCACACCGTACCACCACTGAACAGTCATAGTAAATTCAAAAAAGCAACAACCAAAAGACCAAGAACCACCATGGTTGGAGGACGCTGGTGATGCTACAGCAGAACACTGGTGATGCAACAGAACGCTGGGAATGCTGACAAGGTGCAGAGGTTGCTGATATGGAACGCTGATACGGAACGCTGATACAGAACGCCGATGATAGTACAGAATGCCAATGATATGGAATGCTGATGATACGGAACGCTGATGATACAGAGAATGCTGATACGGAATGCTGATATGGAGTGTTGCTGATATGGAGAATGCCAATACAAAGTTGCTGATAGGAGTCAGTGATACGGAGGATGCTGATACGGATGCTGTCGCAAGTTGCTGTTACAAAGGATGCTGTTATATGGAGAACGCCAATACAGAGGAGGACGCTCGCTGATATGGAGAATGCCAATACGGAGGACGCTTGCTGATATGGAGGCTTGCTGATACAGAGGATGCTCTTATGGAGAGACAACGAGTCGCTCATGCAATACGATACGATACGATATGATACAGAGGGGATATAAAACACTAGTAGTACCAATACTATCTCTCCTATTTTCATGCCTTCATCATTATTTCTACTATTGCAAGGAGCACCATGGTCCTCAGCGCTTGTCTTGTGTTTCAACACTGTATTGTTGTACATTACAGTAGAACAGTAGTTTCCTGTTGTTTAACATCAAACTCCTACTAAGTGATGCATTGATTTTTCCTGTTATTTAATGGTAGAATTTTGATTACTTAGAGAATGCAAGGAAATGAGTTTACAAAATGGCGGAATGCAAGGAAATGAGTTTACAATTCACTAAAAACGGAAATATACAAGGAAATGAGTTTATGTCATTTGTAAAGTGAGGAAATGGGTTAATGGTCCTTCTCTCAAATTCTATTTTTTTAATGTAAATATTTTCTTTCCTTTTTCTGATTGGTCTGCTTCGGTGGCAGTGGAAGTCAAAGGTGTCATCGCACGCCACCACCCACGGCTGTTCATGGGGGGATATTATTCCATATTTGGCGTTTTCTTAGAGTTAGGGATAATACTATAATTTGGTGGGAATCGAGCAATATGATTGGCTAATAAAATAGATCAAAACATAGTTTTAGAATTCGCAGGGTCCTTCTGGTGGTGAAAAAAATGGTTCGAGTCTTGCCTGTTATTGCATGTGCCAAAAACAGTTTCGATAATTTTGATCTGTCTACTTAGCCAATCAGATTGCTTGATTCCTACCAAATATAGTGTTATCCCTAACTCTAAGAAAGCGCCAAATATGGAATAAAATCCGTTTTTTGTGCGTTTTGAACAGCCATGCACCAGCAATCACATACGCTGCCATGCGTGCCGGGCATTCCAGGAAACTCAATCCAGAGGAACACTGGTTTGTTTTTGGGGCATATTAAATTGTATCTTTGGGGGAAGACAAACGTCATTATTAATTAACTTTTATATTGCTGACAATAAACTTTATTAATACTACTAATTAACTTTATTAACACCATTAATAAACTTTATTAATCTGATTTATTAACTTTATTGTTCAAATTAATTCATTTTATTATCTAGCTATATTAGATTCGATAGGTTTGGCTATAATGACAGAATATGACGCACAGACCGGTCACACCAAAGCTCACTCAATTCTAGCGTGGTGCTGGAGGAGTTTTAGGTTGACCAGTGTAGGCCCCAGTACAGTTTTGAATGCGTGATGAAAAACTTCTGAAATGAATTAACTTAATTTAAAAAGTTAATTTGCAACGGATATGTACGTACTGTATTGGAAGCATAGTACGTACATACGATGCTCCCTCAGAATGGATGGACATACCATTCCTACCTACATATCATAAAKTACTATTCATACATACATATCATACGACCCATCATCCTGAGAGGTCTAAGAATATGAGGTATTCGAGAACACCCTACGAAGAACAAAGATGTCACGAGTCCGGAATAGGAGAATCCTCATGTACATTCAGTACCAGATCTACACAAGGATCTAATCAGAACTTTGGAATTCTCATGAACGCGCTCGGTAATCTTCATGATAATCTTAATCTTATAATTCAATTTCATACACACTTAAAACACTTACTAAGAGTACATGTATTTCGTGCATAATTCCTGGGATTAAAAAAGTTAATTAAAAGTATTAATAAGTTAATTAATAGCATTAATCAACTTTTAACTCGCCAATAATTAATTTTATTTTCAGACATTCCCCCTACTCAATTTTAATGCAGCAGTCCCCAAAGAGAGAACCTTCTGTAGAACAGATTTGCCTGTTCCCCCTCATCACTATTGTGGAATCTTGCCAGCGAACGTGCGGATATTAAAAAACGCACGATTGGGGGCTCTCCTGTAACTTCATTGTTTTACTATGTTTCTTACAGTTCAAAAGCCTACCAGCTCTACAACTAAAAACAGCCAACTGAGTAGTTTCTTGAAAATCCACCCCCCAGACCCCCCCTCCTCTTTGAGAACCAATTACAGTCTTTGACTTCCATGATTGTGCATTTACAAGTGGCAACATTGGGTCATTCCTGTTAGCACATATCATATACTAGTATGCATTCAGCAGGAATGAAATCAGTGGTACTAAAGACACAGCTGGCACCCTGAAAGTACATATTTTCCCCCCATTTTTGGAATTTGGAGTCCCATGTAATTGCATGCAAATTTTACAAGAGTCCACCAGTGGCACCAACATCATTCAGATTTTCACAGAACCAGCTAGTACTACTACCAAAACAGCCTCCATCCTCACTATTTGGCTATCAATTCCTCCCTCACAGTAAAATGTCCCCTGAGTTGGTGCTAATTGCATGGTGGGCAGCTTCCCTTGATGTCCCAAAAAGTATCCACGACCCATAGCAAACCCCCCATCGCAACCCCGTTGCATGCCCAAACGCGACCCAATTTTTATGGTCAAAGTACATGTTGCGCTTGCGTCGCGCAAGCGACAAACTACCCTTTTTTTTCAGCACGCGATTCAAATCTGAACCAACCTTTATGTGCAAGCATATTTTTTCATCCTGCACAAATTGTGCACCACTTCTTTTTCTTTGTCTGCGTCCCAGCACTCCCCCCCCCCTCCTAATTTTTTTTCATTCTGTTTTAATTTTTTGCACTACGAATCCCAGCCATTTTGTGTCTGACCCATTCTCATTCATCGTTTAGTCCTAACCTTTGTTTATCATTTTGAACACAGCATTGTATTTTTTCAGTGCTATTCATTTCAAATTCGCAAAAGGAAGTACATGATTTCAGTAATGCATTTTAGGAAATACAAAGTAAGCATGCATGTTGTATCTATCTAATTAAATTATTGCCCATATTATCAAACATCTTCCGTTGCTGGACCTATTACCGATTGATCACAGTTATTATTCCCCCAGCCCAGTAGTTGCAATGCCTCAGGAATGTAAGGTTTATGTTGAATTGTTTGAATGGGTACTGGCGGCCCTTGGGGTTGGAAGTCACCACCCAGTTCCTCTTGTATCCGCTCTAGCATTAGGGCTTTGAACTCCTCTGACCCAGTTGCAGGGTTTCTATGCAACTCCTTGATTTCTTCACACAACCTTGAAAACAACAGTCTCCCCTCTATTGCCCAACCCTCTCTCCTTCTGCTATCTGTGTTGAAAAATGTCCACTTTATTCTCCTTGAACTTCACCCATGTATCATATTCATTGTGCAGCATCAAAATTGCAAAAGCCTCATCGGCAATGGTGAACATGTTGCTTATCTTGAGTTTGCCTTTGTGGCTTTTGAAACCAGTCTGYACCAGATTTATAGAGGCCAACATTTGTGTTCAAAAAATAGTAGAACTCTTCATTGTCTGCATTTCYGTATGCCCTGTAAGATGCTTTTAAAATTTTTCCCTTGGCGCTATTTTTCCAATCAATCGCAACTGACCCCGGAAACGCATCCAGGACAATGTCATGGTTTTTCCTGTCCTCTGTAATCCGTTGCAACACAATGAATTTAAATTAACAGTGTGGTGAGTCGATGACGCTCAACTAACCTTTCCAATAGTGTATTTGGTTTTCACTTACAAATCTAATTTCTTCGTGCCAAACTTTGTGTGTTGTGCTGCAATGTACTTAGCACCTTGAGTAGAATGCTCTCCTCCAAGTATTTGACAAACTCTTCATCCATCTCAAACTCTTTGGTTCTGCTTACTGATTTTCCTGTACTACCTGCAGACATACACAGTGATTGCAATTGTCTTCTTCAATTGAGAGTTTCATGTTTTTGAATATGTTTTTCCTGACGTAGTGTTTCRGGTTGTTGAATATTTGTTGTTCAACATTCTTGGAAATTTTATTTTGTGTGTCTTATGAACTGCCGTCA